TTGTAGTGGTAAGACATAATATGTGCCTTGCGGTTTTTATTTTTTTCATTCTCTAAGTATTTTTAATAAAATATTTTTAAGTGTTTGAAAGACAAAAATTAAAGACCATTCCAAAATAACAATATTGTTTTGTTTAGATGAATTAGGCCCAAAAGAATGAGATGGACCGAACAACCTTTGTAATGGGCCTGACCAATGAAATTGGGCTAATTTTTGTCGTTATCGATAAATAGTGGAAGAGATGTAATGTACAAGTAACCAATTTGTCCATATCCCGATACGTATTGCCGAGTCAGATTCTATGCCGGAGAACTACAGAGCTCCCAATCACTTTCTATAAAATTCTCCGCCCTCTTTCTTTCCTTCTCTTTCCTGAGAAAAATCCGCTCATGCACTCTCACAAATTCAATTCATAACTTTCTCCAGGTATTTTTTTAACTTCATTTTCTGCTACTTCCTCTGTGTAAAACTTGCAAAATTCCTGTTTTTTGTGATTATTTTTTTGTCAATAGTTGAGCAAAATCGTGTTTTGAATTAGCAATTACAGTTTTTGAGTTGAGCTTTGATCTGGTTGTTAAGAGTTTTGTTTGATCATTGATTGCGGAATCTTCAACTTTTTAACATGTATAGCAGGGCGGAACTCTCGAAGTTTTTAGGATCGGTTTAAGATTCTGCTTTCATTTGATGCTCAATTGACCTAATTTTGTAATGTGACAATTAAAGTTGTTAACTTTAGTTAATCATCTGTATGCCTAGAGAAGGGATTTGATGTGTGATTTTAGATGAATTAGCTAGATATTCAACTGTTTTGACTAAATTGCTAGAGGTGTGAATCAGGTGTTCTATTAGCAAATGAGTTCCAGAGGTGGTGGAATTGCAGAATCTCCTTATTTAAGGAACTACAGGGTTGGAAAAACTCTTGGACATGGATCCTTTGGTAAAGTTAAAATTGCTGAGCATTTGCTCACTGGGCATAAAGTGGCGATCAAAATCCTTAACCGTCGGAAAATGAAGACTCCAGACATGGAAGAAAAACGTATGAATCTCATACCTGGGTATCATTAAGTTAACAACAAAATTCGGTTTTTTTCTCTCTTTCCACCTTGATATATTTGTTGTGAAGTTTAAAACAAGTTCATTTGAAGCACATCTTGGTTAGTTCCTTTAAGAATTTAGATGGTTATCCATGGAACATCTAAATTTACTTTATCTTTCTGCAGTGAGAAGAGAAATAAAAATATGTAGATTATTTGTGCATCCACATGTCATACGACTCTATGAAGTGATAGAGACGCCAACAGATATATATGTTGTGATGGAGTATGTCAAGTCTGGTGAGCTCTTTGATTATATTGTAGAAAAAGGCAGGTTACAGGAAGATGAAGCTCGGAAAATTTTTCAGCAGGTAGAGTTAATTTTATTTTCTTGGTCCTTTTGATAGTGCAAATGACAGTTTTAACTGTGATTTTAGGTCTTACGAGATTAATGTAGTTTCTTTTTTGTCGCTCAAATTGTTATTGCTTGGTTGTTTCACTGGGGACAGATTATTGCTGGTGTGGAGTACTGCCATAAGAATATGGTGGTTCATCGGGACCTTAAGCCTGAGAATCTGCTTTTGGATGCAAGACGCAATGTAAAGATAGCAGATTTTGGCTTGGGCAACATCATGCGAGATGGCCATTTTCTGAAGACTAGTTGTGGAAGTCCAAATTATGCAGCTCCTGAGGTGGAAACCTGTACAGCTTGTAATCTTTAAGATGACCATATCTCTTTTTGAGCTGGATTGCTGAAGGTCAATAGACAACATTTATTTGCAGGTTGTCTCTGGGAAACTATATGCTGGTCCTGAGGTAGATGTTTGGAGTTGTGGCGTTATCTTATATGCTCTTCTTTGTGGTACACTTCCTTTCGATGACGAAAATATCCCCAACCTTTTCAAGAAAATAAAGGTACATCCATTGATCTACTTTTGTCTGGTTTCCTTGGATTTTCCAAGTTTTTATAGTTTGATGTATTGGTGCTTACATGGTTGACCATGTGTCATTCAGAGTGGAGTCTACACCCTTCCAAGTCATCTGTCACCTTTAGCTAGGGATTTGATACCAAGGATGCTAATTGTTGACCCTATGAAGCGCATATCGGTACCTGATATTCGTCAGCACCAGTGGTTCAAAATTCATCTTCCTCGGTATTTGGCGGTTCCTCCACCTGATGCTAGGCAACATCTTAAAAAGGTAACTATAACATTATTATGCTAATAACAAAGGTATCTTGTATGATGCTGAAAGTGTTCCTAATTCCTATTGGCTTGACCCCTTGTTGTCCACTGCTACCTTTAAATCCTACAAGATATGCTGCTGTATATCTGGAAACCCAAACTGGGCACTGGCTCTTGTGGTTTCTCCATTTGTTAGTCTTGTGTTAATTCATGTTGTGACATAAAAGAATCATGAAGTGTGCTTCCAAAGAAAATCAAAATACTGTTATCAATCTTCACTTCCTCTTACAAGATCAGGGAACACTTATGTTTCTTGCTGCCATTGCGGAGGATCTCATTTGTCTGGAGATGTCAAAAAGTTGTCATATGTATCCCATATATATCTCGTTCCTCATGTATATGACTATCTGTTTGTTAAATAATGTGGTATGCAATTCTTTCTATTTACTCATTCTTGCTGTAACTATAAGCTGTCCTGCTGCAGCTTGATGAGGAAATTCTCCAGCAAGTAAGTAGGATGGGGCTTGATAGAGACCAGTTGCTTGATTCTTTGCAAAAGAGAATACAGGATGATGTACGTTGCTTCTTACATCACTACCGGCGACTCTGTCTCTTGTTGTAGCTACTTTTCTATTCTTTTGGGTTTTCTCAATTGCATATGCCTAATAATATGGTACTGAAAAAGGAAAAGGATCTAGCAATTGTAGATATACTTGTGTTTTACATATCTACACTAGAAATTGAGGCTTTTCAGTGGATTTGCTGATCCTTGAGGGGAGTTATATACTTTGTGAGTCAACTAAGTTTGGGGTCACATTAAATCAAATTGATTGCAAAGGGATGAGGTGTGGTAATTGGTATACCTTTTCATTACTTCAGTTTGCCTTATACCTTTATGTATCTGTTTCAGGCTACTGTTGCATATTATCTGCTGTACGACAACCGTTCCATGGCTTCCAGTGGGTATCTAGGAGCTGAGTTTCAGGAATCTGTGGTATGCCCTCTCTTATTTTTACTTCATTCATTATTTCTCAGTGCATAAATTTTTGGGCTTACATTTACTACCATTCTGTCAAAAAAGAATATGTGAACTGCAGACCGTTCATGAATCATGTCAAGAGTCATTGTTTTCTGTACATGAGTAAATTCAAGATACACTACTATGGTTCCCATTGCCGCTCTTACTACTAGTTTGAAAAACTGGTGGTTGGGTTCAGGCTTTAAACAATATTACTTTTGTAACTTCTGTACCCTTCCCTTAGTTTAGAGCTATGCTTCTTCAAATGTCAGATAATGTTTTACTATAGCCTCAAGTGTTCCACACTCAATAGATGGTCCTTGTAATTTACATTCATGTGTTTCTTCAGGATTGTTATTCCCCTGGATTGTTTCCAAATCTTGACCTACAGCTGTCTACTGGGAACGGAGTTTCTGAAGAGAGTTTGAGACGCCCATTTCGCAAAGAGAAAATGTGGCTAGTTGGACTTCAGGTTAGTTTTTTTGCAGTATATGTAATGGAAATATTGTGTGAATTTCCTCATTTCACGTTGATTACTTTTTCAGTCTCCTGCAAATCCAAAGGAGATCATGAATCAGGTTCTTGGGACTCTGCTGGAACTAAATGTTCGATGGAAAAAAATTGGGCACTATAATATGAAGTGTTTATGGTGTCATGATCTTCATCTTCATAGTATGGCCAACAATCATATGAATGATGATGATCATTTTATTAGCAATGCAACTGCCATAAGTACACATTTACAGCCACAACCTACTGTGAAGTTTGAAATGCAGGTATGGTTATCTTTTTTCCCATCATCTTTTGCTCTCAACATAGTGGTTGTTTGCTAACTGTGGCATGATTTTGGACAACAATTCTAGCTTCTGGTACTCAAATTTATCGATTGTTTGACTTGCGTTAAAAAAAAAATCCAGTTAAATACAGAATACCATTGATTCTACTAGTAGGAGCCCTCTAGTTTTTTAAATTCAAATCTTGCTAATATGGATTTGCTTTAATACTGTTACAGCTGTACAAAACTGAGGATGAAAAATACCTGCTTGATCTCCAAAGAATTAGCGGTCCGCAGTTCCTCTTCCTGGATTTCTGTGCTGGTTTCATTAGGCAGCTAGAGGGACCACAATGATTGGACTGTAAGAGGAGGATGTATGTTGTGTAATTTGTTGACAAATGAGAAACCTTGTTGTACATATAAATGTTAATAGGTTTATAATATTCCTTACCTATACTTTAAATTTGTGTTCATGTTTCTATAGTTCAGGCTTTTGCCAGAAGTGATATTCTTTCTCAGTAAAAGTGCCTGCCTGCAGGTCTCTCATTCCAACTAAATTGGAATCGTTAGATAAGATATACGTCTTTACCCATAATAATACTACTACTTTCCTTTTTAGTCTGTTTCAAAAGTTGTCTACTTTTATTACAAGTGAAACGTATCACAACTTGTCCTACTTCCATTTACTCTTTTTCTGCGTAAAAGCTAATGTACTCATCGTGGTGACACCCCCAACAAGAAATAGTATTTCTTGACAAATGTGAATTATAAGTAACTTCATAACATATATTTCGCCATTTTACAAGTTTACTGGCTTTCTAAATGCAATAAGAGAGCATAATAATTACATATTGAAAAATTAACACCTGACTGAAGATAAATCAGTAAAATACAACTACAAGGGGAAAGTCAATTAGATCCTTGGATTACAGAAAAAACTTCTGGAGTTATATGAACTAAACAGGAAATCAATCACAGATAACCCAATATTGCTTGAAAAAGTAAAGTAAAAAAACATGAAAACAGAAAAAATCAAAAAACAAAAAGGCTGGTCATCTTTGGTTTTAGTTACTTATTTCAGTTATTATCTTCCTTGAAAACCTTCTAAGAACATAGGAGAACCAACCACCACTCCAGAATCATCATTAATGTCAATGAGCTGAGCTTCTTTATTGCTCTTCGAATTCGTTCCAGGCTGTTCTGAAGAACTTGGCTTGGAATTTTCATTCTCATTCTCATTCTTCACTGGAACACTACTCGGGGATGCACTTTCAAGCTGCAAGGCATATTCTAAGTTCCACAAAACATCTCCCATTGCAGGCCTATCAACCCCATATTCTGCCAAGCATTTCTCTGCAGCTTCCACGTATTTCCTTAACGCCTCAGGGGTAATGGTTCCTGCAATATGAGGGTCTATGATCTTCTCCAGAGTGCCCTTTTTGTGTTGCTGCATTGCCCACTCTGCCAAATTCACTTGTTCTCTTGGCAATGCAGGATCAAGAGCAGGTCTTGCACATAGTACCTCAAAAAGGACTACCCCGAACGAGTACACATCAGATTTTTCTGTTAGTTGTTGTCTTCTGAAGTATTCGGGATCAAGGTAACCAAAACTACCCTTCACTGCTGTGCTAACATGTGTTTGCTCCAGTGAAGGACCAGTTTTTGACAAACCAAAATCAGCCATCTTTGCGACAAAGTCCTCATCAAGGAGGATGTTTGTAGTTTTTATATCGCGATGTATTATCCCCTGAGTTGAACCAGTGTGAAGGTAGTGCAGTCCTCGAGCAGCTCCTATGCAGATTTCGAGCCTTTGTTTCCATGTTAGAGTTGGCAAAGTGGAACCATAAATGTGGTCACGCAAAGGACCATTAGACATGTATTCATAGACTAGAATCATTTCTGATTGTTCATCACAATAACCAATGAGTGAAACAAGATGTCGATGCCTAAGCTTGGATAGCAACTCAATTTCTGTTAGGAATTCGTTGATGCCCTGTGAGGATGATGGATTTCCTCGCTTTATAGCTAGTTTTGTTCCATCTTCCGATACACCAAGATACACTTTTCCAAAGCCTCCAACACCAATGACTGCTTTTTCATCAAAGTTTTTTGTTGTTTTCTTGATTTCATTGAAAGTAAAGACACGGCCAAAGTTGAGGCCAGAGGATATGATTGTTGAACAACTAGTCTTGCTCTTGCTTGACATGAAGCTGCAGTAACTAGCATTGAGAGGAAGCCATGAAGAGAATGTCTTCTGCTTCTCCCAACCCTTTGTTGGCTTCCTTCGCCAACGAACAATGCCCATCAAAAGCAATACTAATGCTGTAAACCCCATTGCCAATCCAAAAGCTGCAGCAATTCTCATTCCGCGTGATCTTGGCATTACACCATGCCGTCCACCAGATGAGAACAGCCCATCCAAGCTTCCCTCCATGTTGCTCATCTTCATGACCTCCAATCCATTGAGGATGGCATTTGGGAGGATAGACTGGACGTTTGACGCGGGTCCCACCTGCACGATGATCGAACCGTTGGTGATGGCTGTGGCATTGAGCACAAAGTCTTTGTAATAAGGGGTGGCCAACTCTGAAGTCAGTGTTGAAAGGTCAAGACTAGAGACCCCCACCACCTCATTAACATAGACATTGAAGTACAACTCATTTAGGCCTTTGCTCACAATATCACAGAAATGCATTCTGATAAAGTAGGAAAAGCTCGAATCAACGTCCATCTCCCACGTTAGCTTGAAATTCGAGTTGGGCACCCCAGAATCTGCCATCATATCAGCCGTAGCATAAACTGAACTGGGGGCAATCAAAGGTGTCGCCCCTCCATCTGGATAAACGATTGTCGTTAGAGGAACCGACACATTCTGAGCCCCTTCAGGAAATGCCATGTACTTATTATCAGGCAACCATGTCCTCCACAATGTATCATTTTTTGGTGTGACAATTGGCCCTCCAACATTTAACCGATAACTTACTTCAAACGCGAATTGAGACAGGCCATTAAAATCACCAACAGGGGAAACTGCAGCAGCTGAATCAGGAATGAGATCATCTGGTGCTGACACAAACTCAATGGCATTGATAAAAGCAAAAGATCTCTTCAAAGGTGAAAATTTGAGAGTGAATTGTGATGAAGTAATATTAATAAGGTATTCTTTGAACACAACTTTACTAGTATCTTTCACTGAGAAATCATGAAGTAAAACAATATTATCAGAAGTAACAGTAAACATAGCACTTGCTAGATTATAATTTGGATGTTGAATAGGATAAAAGTACAAACGCACCCAATGCCTGCCTGGTTTGAAAACAAGAAATCTATACATAGACTCACTTTCAAATATTCTTGCTGTATGATATAACAAAGAGGCAGAGGAAAAAGAAGTGACCTTTTCTGATAAAGACTTAACAGAAGCTAAAATAGTCTCATCAGTAGACAAGTAAGAAGCAGATTGAGGATCAGACTTAAAAGTCCTTCCATCATCAAGCAAAGTAGTATCAGGAGATCCACAATTGATCAGATAGTTATCGGTCGGCGTAAACGTTCCTTTTGAAGCTGAAGTAGCTACATTTGCAAAAACTAGTACAAGATAAGCAAAAATGACAAGAGGGTGTTTTCTTCCTCTCATCTTTTTGTTGTATGAGAGAAAAAATGATAGATGTTAGAATACTAAAATTGTTGAATAGACAGACATAAGTGAAAGACAATTCTTGAATTAGAGTATAGCACGTCTATGTTTGTAAGTAGTAAAGAAGAATATTGTGAACATTTGTTGTTAACATGTTAGGATTTAGGACAGAACGTGCCTTGTTGTAGCTGTAGACTTTTTCAGTGATTCTGTTAATTATCCATAAACTGATTCTTAAAACAGTTTTTTTTATTTTAAAAAAAATTAAGAAAGGATGTGATTAATTACCAATAAACACAAAAGTCCAAAGCGCGTATCCAGCTGGAATATAATGCTTTAAGGAAAAACTTTTTTCTTATTAGTTGACCTTTGAAGGGAAAGGGCTATCATTATATAGAAGAATTAGTTAATCATCCTTTGTTTATGCAATTTGTAGGACCAAATACCGGATTTTTAGGTATGTTAATGTCTCTCTGTTAGTGCTAAAAGTTTTGAGTTTTGACTAACCGACTTACGACGATAAATAACATTGACAGTGGACTTTTTTTACATAGTGTATATACTTCAATGCCAATTAAGTTTGGATTATGGTACAAATAGTCAAATGTTGTACTTTCTCATTCATGAATGAAACTGATTTTCTGGGATTTTTATGCTTATAAAACAAAGTGACAGTAAGAACTTTAAAATGTAAATGCTTCCTTACACGCTAAAATTTGCAGCTGCAATAAACATAAAATAAGTCCACTAGCCAATATTCAATGAACTAAATTTACGATCTTCGTTGTACGCCACTAAAAAACCGTCAACATAATGGCTAATTTCCCAGAACTCAACTCAAAATCCTTCCTCATTGCGCTAAAAATCATAAAATTGCGAAGAATGAAAACTGTAAATGTATTATTGGTGATCTTGTAAAAGCTTCCAAACAAGCAGAACTCAAAAGGCATTGATACAGTAGTAAAGCGTCCATATTGATAATAGTCCCTTATCTTTAGGTGACAGCCTCTTGTTTTGTGAAAAGACAGTGTCGAAAATCTTAAAGCCCGTACAAGGACAGTAGGATATGGTGCAGTAACCGTTGCACTGGAGCAAGAAAACACTACATATGCTAAGGCGAAAGAGCGTTGGCTCCTGGGTCAAGCAGCCCAGGGGCCTCTTGTCATGCTTTCCAGTTGGTGTGCTGAGCTGGTTCAATAACATACCCATGGTGTGGGGTCTAGAGGAGGTGGTGTCACAATCCTACCCCTACCTTATGAAGGTAGAGAGACTATTTTCAATAAACCCTCAACTCAAGTAAAGCATAATTAAGGATGCGCTAAACTGGTTCATCCAACCAAATTTTTATCACTACAGCTATCAGATAGAAACAAGGTATGAATTTGGTGAAGGAAGCAAATATAATATGAACTGTAATTGCTATACAAACACAAAGGTCCATTCTACTCGAGATACTGTGGCTACAAAATTCGTCGTTTTGGTTTAACTGTATGTATTCCTGGGTAGACCCACCCACTGTTTACAACAAAAGAACAGCCTAGTTAAATAACAGTGCAGGCTTTTACAATAGAGAAAAAGTTGAATTCAACAATAAATCTCTATCAAGGAGAAAAATTGGGTTGAGGATCCACCAGTACTGGATATGTGAAAGTTAAAAAATATTGAAATCAAAATGAGCTTTACAGAAAAACCAATAATGATAATAATACAAACAATGGAACTAATTACAGATTGACCATAAATTATAGCAGTTGGCAGCCTTCTCCTGCTGTCATGTAAAAGGAACTAATTACATGTTCAATAAATATTATTGCAGCCGGCAACCTTGTTCTTCTTGTTTCATGTATAGCAGACCTCTCCTTATCCTCTGCGGAATAAATTAAGCACAATCAACAGATGATAAAAGCGACTAATCAAGAAAGAATCAGAGAAAAAAGGAGAACATTCTGCTTGTAACAGTTCCTCGAGTTGTTTATGGATATCAGTGCCTAGGAAACATGACTTTTGACAGGCGGATCCAAGATTTCAATTTGATGGTCTCGACTAATAATGTTCTTAAGCACCAAACTCATTGTACTTATATAATTCTGGGATTAGATCTAATATTTATTGACTGTTTTTTGTAGATTTTCACATTAAAATCTCTACTCTGCGTCCAAAATACTGGGTTCGGATGAACTCAGTGCTGAAGCACTAGATCCACCCCATCTTTTGACTATATCTACATGTATGTCTCTAATCCTTCTTGACCTATGTCAGAATAAGGCAATTTGCTTTAGTAACTGCCCTTTACCCTAGTGCTCATGACATGCTACACCAACATCCATCGTGTAGCAAAACCTTGTTTACTAAGAAAGAAGCTCAAGAAAAAAGATAGTTCAAATGAAGTGTTAAAGAACAAATACCTCAGGTGTATCTCTTATCTGAAGCAGGTCTAATTTCTCTGTTGGTCTACGACTGGTCAGAGTGTTAAGCTGCATTTATTTAGGCACCAGAATATAAAAAACTAATTCATGTCTACTACTTGTTTTTAACTTGAAAATGGATTCAAGTGTGTACCCAAAAACTTAAGTGCTCAGGATCCTGTGGTGATGGCATCAATCCTTCAGCTTTGAAGAGTTCTGCACGTCTACGATCTGTAGGTAAAGTCTAGGTTATGATGTTTGTACTGAAAGGATATTAAGCAAAAAGAATAACTATGCTGTTCTATAACACACAAAACAAAAACAATAAGCTCAGCTCTCTGCCTAAAACCTTCCAAATATAGTTTAGTTTGATAGGGACGACAAGTTTTCCGGGTCATGATCACCACTTGGATTGATTGATAAAGCAATCCTTTTTTTTTATAAGGAAAAATTAGTGCTGGCCACGAGGTTCGAACCCGCATTGCTTTGATAAAGCAATCTTTTAATTCAGAAGGATTCATAGATAACACACCATTTGAAGTGTTGTAGCATGTACATCAAGCATGCCAATAATCTAACACCTATATATGCAAGTGGTACATCTACTTTCAAAACCTATCTATGAAAGTGTTGTAGCTATGTATTAAAGGATCAAAAAGACATCAAATTTCATCCTACAAATGGACCTACTATAATCATTTGCCACAAGATAGAGACAAGAAAGGAAAAACCTTACTAATGACTTTACCTCCTGCTACTTGTTGTGCGTTCCTCAACCATTGTTGAGCAAATGCCGCCGCCTTATTTGCCGTCTCCAGTAACTATCAGTAATTGACAAATTACAGTTCAACATATATAAAGCAAGAGTTTGAAAGCATTAAGCACTTGACAATGAATTAGTATACAAGCACTACATATACACAAATTTGCACACAGTATATATCAGTAAGCATTTGAGAAAGAAAAATGAGCTTTCGATCATAATTCAAATTGAAAAAGCATGAATTACATGGTCATCAGTAAGAGAAAACGGAAAAAATTACTCATATGAAGTATAAGGCAGTCAGTAATAGTTAGATTCAGAGGAATCCCAGGAAATACAGTTTACCCCAAAAATCCTCGAACAGAGGCACAAGTTTCAAGAAACAAGAATCTTTCTTTTAGGAGGTGAATAAGAAAAGATTAATATAACACAAAAATAAGGATCATAAATAAAATGGATTGACAAATATCTATCAGAGGATTGCTGTACAGCTTACTTCATGCCTCTCTCTTGTTCCTTCGGCTAGGCATATATCATGTATCCATTCAACCTCAGCAACACGATACCTTCATAATAATGGCCAAGGGGAAAAATAATAATAAGCAAGCTTAAAGAAGCATAAAGTAGCAGAATAATAGAAATTTTATAGCATTGGTGTTGTGCTTAATATTTTGGGATAGCATATTGGATCCAATCTCCTTACTTAACGCAAAGCAACCAACAGACCAACCCAGAGACTTCTAACACCCCCACCCATTGTAGAATTTCAAATCTTTGGCCTCTTTTATAAGAAAGTTGTTTGGAAATTTACTTTTGAGAAAGAAATTAAACAGAACAACATTTTCTTCAATCTGTTTTTGTATGAAAGGAAAAGGAAAGTTCGAAACAAGAAGAAACCAATTCCTTCAAGTTTCCTACCCTTGTTACAAAGAAACTTTTTTTTTGTGAGCTTTTTGAACTGCTTTCCTACAAAACTCCTGCTTGTATAATGAACAGAAAAGGTCAGAAGTTACTTTCTGCATTTTCATTTGGCAACCATATGGTACGTGAAGCTATGTTTCTGTGCCCTTCTTACTTCTTAAACTTAATTACCAATTTTCATCTCTACCAATAAGGAGTTAGATATTGAACTAACCCATCTTGATCCCAATGTCGTACGATGCGGCATCTACGTCGACTTTCAACCTGCATAAGTTTGTGCTTAATCAGATACAAGTTAAAGAACTTTGAAGATTTTTGACGAGATAAATAAAATCTTCAGCAGACACTTGTCTTTATTATGGTGGGACATCTAGACATGACACCGCCTCTGGTGAAAATAATAGTCTTTTGAATTCGTCCTCAAAAGAAAACAACCAAAACCAAGGTTCATCTAGCAAAGATTCAACCAAAACCAAGGTTCATCTAGCAAAGATATTGAATTCTAAACTTGCTGAAGTGAGAAATGGTCAAAGTGTTCAAGAAGAACATTTTCAGTTTAAACAAACCGTCAGGTGCACCAAGGATATTTTACATGGATGCAATATTATACATGCTAGCGTATGGTGAAGAACCTCGACTATTTTACATTTAAAAGTCATCACATAGCAGTTTAGACCCTTGTGTTAATGAACTCATAAGTAGTAAATAAGCACCATGCTAACATGAAGGCTCATGGTACAAAAACAAAAGCATCTAATGGGACAAAAAGCTGATATTCACCTCCAGAAAGAAACGCCCATCTGGAAGTGGCTCACATCTACACAAAGAGATGAAGGTTATCAACTTCTATAAACAAGAATAAAATGATGGAATCGATAGAAGAATAAACATAAAAGATATCCCGAAAATCTGAACAGGTCGCAGAACACCTACTCTATAATCTCCACTTCACAAGCATAATCAGCTACCGAACCTGTCGTAGAATCATGAACAGCCTGCATGATTAGCAGTGAAGCCTCAGCCAAAAGTGAAGGCAGCAAAACCAAGCATAATAACTGGGGGGAAATCAAAGGAAAACCTACCATTCCCATTCGGCGATTTCCTTCCATTATCCTCCTGATCTGTTTCAACAACAAAATTTGTCAGCTTTTACAAGACAAGTATGCATGTGAGATCTATGAAATTCCATCTTAACTATGCATGATTGAAAGGCTTGTTTGCAATCTAGGGATAGCAAGAGAAAACTAAAATACGAGAGAAAAAAAGGAGGGACAAGTATTATAATGCTTTTCATTTATTTTGTTTGAGCTGGACAGCCAGAAAGAAATATATACTTTCCACATTCCTATTCTATGCCCAGGGAACAATTGCAAAAAACTCTCTATTTTATGTTGTTTCCTTATATTTATACAATCAAACAAGAAGAAGAAGATTCTCAATACTTTATTCCCTCTCTTTTGCTTCTAAATATATTGTTCATTAGCTAAAGCTAACAATAGTTGAGGCCTGCTCACTGGTTAGTCCGATGGATTACTTGCAGGAGCCATCTTGCAGAGATGCTCTAGATGTCCTTTCAGAATTGCACAAATTAGCAAAAGAGAATCACAATTGCCAGATCTGGTCCTCCTCAATCAAGTATACATTCTTGTATCATGTCTTCGAAAATCTTAGACAAAAAATAATCAATATCTAAAAAATCCCCATTTCAAATTCTGCCACTTCCTGGGCACTCTTACATAATGTCCAGATCTGACAGAAGACTTTAAAATTTTCTTAGAGATTGTCTGAACAGACTCTGAAGTATACATATAAGTGGGACATTTAGAGAATCCCTAATTTCAGAGGATGTCTAACAAATAAACTGAGTAGTGAACTGATACAGGTCTAAATGTGTGCAGGCTGGATATATTGGATTTGTAAAGTAGATCCCAGTTTTACTTTGGGCCCGAAGTGCAGTCGTTGTAACTGTTGCTTTTTATTTTTATTTTTTAGACTTAAATAAAATAAGATAATAGTACCTCTTTTAATAATGGTACCAATACTTCTACTAGTGGTGATAAGCTTCAATCATCTAAACACTTCTTACCTCATAATTTTTTTATGTCAAAGTAGCACCAAAAGTTTTATTGAAACCTTTTCTTACATCTGGTAAACTAAGACGCAATGAAAGGGACCATAGATAATAGAATTCTATAAAAATCATGATCATCAAGATATAGAAATAGAACAATGATGGTTCATCTAGGTCCCATGCCGAAAAAGGTAAAACTGCATTCTACACTAATAGTCAAGAAAATAATAGTTAGGTAGCACTCACCATAAGTCTGTAACGAGGTTCAAAAATGTTGAGTGCGAGCTTCTCGCATGGTAGAATAACGTCCATGACGAAAAGAGGCAGCAAGTCAACACCGGGGTTTATCAAACTGTCATTCTCAGCCTTCCTTTCAGCATATTCCTCAGGAAAAGTTTTTTCTATTATGTTTTTCAACGTTACACTGAAAACATGCAAATAAGAATGACGTGTATTAGCCACACAAGACAAATATAGATAATGAAATTTTAGCCACATGGGACAAAATGAGTTCAATCAAATCATTAATATTAGTGAAGAGTCATCAAGGTATGTAAAGGTACAGACACAATATGCTTTCTATTCCTTTTGCAGGAAGAATTGTGGTCTAGAAAATCAATTTATTTACACAGAATTACAAGAGAGGAAGCAATAAAGCATGTGACTGGATGCTACTAGGGATCATTTACTATCCTAAAAAAGAACAGAAAAATAGAGAAACCACAGTCTCAGCAGTAAGTGTAAAACAAGTACAATGGAAGGATGAACCATAAGCAACCTACCTGATTGCACACGTTCTGGGACTAATGAAAAGAACTGTTCGGCACAATGGACATTTGTTATCTACAAAATGTTCATCCAAAGGGTAAGGAAGAAGAGTAAGAAGAAGAGAAGATGATTATAATTCAATATGTAAAAAAAGTTGGGATAGATAGGACATGCAAATCTAAAACTTACATCGGTCCATTGACTGGAAAAGGCATGCACGGCAAAAAGAATGTCCACATGGAGTTGTTATAGGTTCATATAATAGCTTTAAGCACAGGGTACAGTCAAATTCATCACTGCGATGTGGTCTCCCGTGGCTTCTCCTTCCAAGTGTAGTTTTGATCGATTTCTCCAAATTTAGAAGGGGATTGCTACAGTCCAGAAGAAACAACAATTAAAAACTCACCACATAATCAAACTTTACCACAATGCTTCTGGAAAATACACATTATGCTTCTTTTGAACAGCTACTGACATGAAAAAGCATGTCATAGTTATGATTATCACCATAATTTTCATTACCTTAGAGGATTCATTTGAAGTCCTGAACGGATTATCTCTTGGGCGAGCTCATATTTTTCTAACTGCCAATTCAAGAAATATGAGATGAGTGTCCAAGAAGATTATCAACCCATCAAATGTTTAAGAAGAGATTGGAAGTATAGCAATCTCCTTCACTATATTCAAACAGTTACAAACTGACAACAAGCAGAATAAATAAAGAAATAAGGATTTGATGAGATAACAGAAGACCATTGAGTGAATTAGACAGTTGAAGTATCTGCAACTGCAACTCTCATGATAGAACAATGTATACGAGGGGGTCCCAACACACAAGGAAAACTCCAATTTAGTTATTTAACCCACCCTCAAAGTATAGAGAATTTAGAGAACAACAAAAAGGGAAATAGAAAACAAGGCAATTTTCCAAAACCGACACATGTTTCACCATGTGGTTTCCAAAGCTAATGATGCATGAGACAATAATTTCCTTACCAAAATGAGTGAGTTTGCCTTCAGAATATATGATGTAACTGAATTGTTCTGCAGCTGCATCACCTTCTCAGCATCCTTTAGTGCAAGCTGATATTGAAGTAAACCAATTTAAATTTGCTGCAAAACCCTCTGTTGAGAAGGTTGAAATCATAGACAATAAAAAAAAGCAGACAGACCCCAGCATATATTGTAGGATCCAACCCACTCAATGGCCTGAATTCTGAATCTGATGCAGATCTACTTTTCAGAAACTGGCTATACCTGGAAGTTCATTCATAAAAAAATAAGTTCAGCTATTTGTAAAATGATGAGCAGTCAAATAGAAAACATTAAGTAAAGATGGCAAGGTAAACAGAGATGAATCAAAATCAGAGCAAAGCAGTCAATATGCATCAGAAATACCAGGCATAAAAATAAGCTTTACCTGAGGTATGAAGCACATCTGTTGCTAAGAATAAAAGGATCATCCGGCTTAATGTTGCTAGCCCTTGTGTAACGATTGATAGCCTGGCCAAGGAAACAGGCATTGAGAAAACAAGAAGATAAATGCAACCATACAAGACCTTTATGAGATCAAATATAATACAGTGGAAGTTCAAATCATCCTTGCTGAAGGAGCTAGTTTTCGAGTTAACTGACAACACTAAAGAAAAAGTTGATCACTAGACTAGGCACGGGTATGCTTGTCAAAACAACATCTAGAACATCACTCTAAACCAGAGCCCCTCAAGCATCGTCAATTACTATGTCATGTAGTTATAGCTGGATACTGGACCACATGCACTTGATTTTACATCGTCTCAAGATTTTCTCCAAATCTATAGATTATTGAACTGCCCGAGAAACATCACCTCTTACGAAACGAGTATAAAACAATAGACCTAGTCCATTCTTCATCAACCATGAGAAACAGAGAGCTCATAAACATTTTGGTTTTAAATCTTGTGTATCTTTCTGATTCCTAAGATTAAACCTATGCTTGCTCATGAAGTAAATATTTCAAGTTATATAATACAGTAGGTTATCGTACCTCTTAAAAGAATACAAAAAACAATGAGAGAACCAAGGGTGTATTATGGTATGGAGAAAAATATTTTCCGTGATCAATCATTTCCAGTATTTAGTTACCAATAGATGTGTCCCCGTAAATTATGGGTGGAGGTCATTTTCCTTTCCAAATAGCACTGATACATACTCTATTTCTCACTTGCTTAGAAGAACACATAACATTTTTAAAACTAAAAAATGTTTACGTGTTCTTTTAAGCAAGTGATCTTTTAAGAACATGTAAATATTATTTTCAATTTTTAATACTTATCACCAATATTACTGTTCTCAAACCCTATCATCTGCCTTGTAGAATTACCACATGCCACCTAATTATACCCAGACAACCGCATGCCACCTAATTATACCCAGACAATCGCTAGAAAATGATCCATAAGACAATTACTCACATTTTTCATGGAAAACATTTTCCTTAGTTTGAAACCACCCTTGTGGGGTATGAAAAGCAGAAAACTCGCCCCACTAACTTGCAGAATCACTAGCTAATGGATATTCGGCATAAAGAAGTTTACCGTGTTTCCGTGTATTTTTTGGCAATAGAAGCTAGATTCATGATATCAGTACCAACATAGAAAAGAAACTGAAAGATGAATATAGTGGTTTCATATATACGTGATCAATTCCATTTAAGGTTAGCCCCGGAAACAAAGTCATGTTTATGGGATATTTCATATATACGTGATCAATTCCATTTAAGGTTAGCCCCGGAAACAAAGTCATGTTTATGGGATTCTCCAATTGCAGTCTTTGACACAGAATCAAATTAATAGATCCACTTCTTCTTCACTCCACTCCACTTGAAAAAGGCAGACCCAATAAACCATTCCCCCTTCTATTTTCCAATTATATGGATATCTTACACGAATGAAAATCTTTCCGAAAACCAGCCAAGTCAAAGACAGTTAAATTGCAAAACGCTTCCTTTTTGGTTCTAAATCTTCAGTTCTCAAAAATTTTGAATAAGCACCACTGCCTCAAGAATAATTTAACCAAGCATCAAAGGCACAACATTAATAACTAAGAAAATTGGGTTTATTACCTCGTCCCATCTGTTCTCACGATATGCTTTGTTACCCATCTCCACAGTCTCACGTAGATGATTGTACCTGTCCCACGATATAGATGGCGTCTCTCCTGAATTCGCCTGCATTCCATCAGAAAATTTTCAGAATCTAAGAAACCCCATTAAAAAAAAAACAAGAACAGAATCTAAGATACCCCATTAATGAAGACAGTCCAAGAACAGAATCTAAGAGACCCCCATTAAAGAACACGGAATCTAAGAGACCCCATTAAAGAAGACAACCCAAGAACAGTGGAGTTGTAATTAATATAGAAAAAACTAACCCATGGAAAATCTTGAACATCATCAATGCCTTCAAGATTAAACCCCAGAAGAAGAAGCCTCGCCGGACATTGCAAGGAGAGAGAGCTGTAAACAAGAAGTAGTAGAAGAGGGGTTTAACAAAATTTATGATTAGCGGCGTCGTTTAAAAGCAAAAAGAAGAGGAGTTAAAGTATCGTGTTCTTCCAAGAATCCTTCATTACATACATGGACTGTATTCGTTTACGTGGTCCTTCTCTCTCTATACTCTGCACTGCAGATCCTCTCTCTAGAAAGTAGAAAGTTTTCAATCCATAACTTTGGAATTATTGCGAGAGCTTTCGTTCTCAAGAATAAATGCCCTTAAATTTTCACTTTGGGATAAAAGGATTCACTTATAAAGTCTTCCTTACATATTTATAGCCCACAATTGCACCATACGATGAAGTGGGGAAAATTTTATTATGTGGTAATTAGTGTGCTACGATTCTATATTAAAAACTTTAGTTCGATAATTTTGACTTTTGGTAAAAAAATAAATATATTATATGATATTGTGATAATTTTGTTTGACTTCGATTTTACACATACTACATAATTATGACTGCTGATTTTTTAAGAAATATGTCAATTACATTATACTAACATCTTAATTCTTATATATATAGAAGAAATATCCAACAAAAAATAAAATACAAGCAATGTCATTGGTTAATAAATTACAAAAAGAACACTTCAACTAATCTAACTATCAATTGTTTACTATTATTATATACATTTGCTATACGTATAACTATATACTTTGATACATATTCACTATTTTGATATTTGTTTTATAAATATCAAATATCAAACAAATTGAATTTTATACTGAATATTATAGTATATTGTGATATCAAAAATTTAGTTTCGATACATCTTTCGACTTACCATGCTCGTCTCTAACTCACACAATTACAATTTGTCTCCCAATTTAGTCGATCCAAAAAATATTAAAACTCACTAAATTATGAGACAAAAAAAACCTCACGTAATTAAATATTAATTCACACTTGTTTGTGTAATAAAAGACAAATAAAGTACTCTTAACTTAATTAATTCAAAACAAAGTGTTGGTATAATACGTCACAAATATAATAAATTACAGTTAAAAATAAAATGACAAAAATGAATAAATAATCATTTAGGCTGAGGTGTGGATATTTTACTCTCTTTAATGAGATTCAAGTTCACTGCGGTATATAATTTACACCGATCCAGCAATAATACTCTTGACTTGTACTTTTCGGGATACAACAGCTCAACAACGCTGTACAACTCAAGGAACTCTGAATTAGTTGAAGAATCCAAAGCTCCACAAAAAAAAAACATCTTCCCTCAACATATAAATATTCTCTTTTATATAGTGAATATAGTTGAAGATTTAAAATATTCGTATTTGTCTCAACTATCTCTTTATTACACTAACTCAATGTATACACAATATAATACTTCTCATATTTTCTTACACTTTTTCTCTTGTCTATCTCTTGTTATACCCAATGAAAGACCACTATTTATAGGTAAAGGGTTCTTCCTTGCAATGAAAAGGAAGATAATAGATAGTAAATTGAATAAATGAATAGCCCAAAAATTATATAAGTTACAAGAATAAAAAAAGTGAAATAATTGATGAAATGAAGTGTCAGTGGTTACAAAAGTTACTACAACTAACGACCACATTCTTCCACAATTATGAGAGTAAAGAGGCACAAATACATAATGTAACATATCATACATTTTTATTAATATTAAAATATCAAACAAACACAAAGTATGTTCTTTTCTTGTTATAAATTATAAGTTTATTAATTTGTTCATATATAAAATATAGATTATGATAAAGTGAAGTGGTTTATATAAAAATTCTCATGTAGTATGTACGCACTGACAAATACATGTAGCAACGACACGTCATTTCAGGAGCTGAAAATTGAAATTGGCCCTGAAAAGTTACTCCTTCCATTTTAATTTCATATTTTGTTAATTTGTTCATATTAAAATATAGATTATGATAATCTACGAAAAGTTCCACTTGCAAGTACATTTTTAGAGTAATTTCCCTGGATAGTCACCCATGTTTGGGAAATTATCTTGAAATATCACTTATGTTTGTTTTATGACCACAATATCACCCAACTTTACCTCTTTTCCTCAAAATATACTTACACAAAAAAAACATTATCTCTCTCCTAATAGGATGCCATGTCACATTATTCCTTTTTCATTATTAACATTTTTTTAAAAAAAATTTAGACAACCCATATTACCTAGTAAAAAAAAATTACATAGCCAAAAATTTCTACCCTAGTTCTAGGGGATTAGGCGGCAAATCCAAATATGAGCTACTCCGATTCTTCAAGAAAATATGTGGCTTCCTCCGATTTTTCAAGCGAGATAATGTTTTTATATGGGCACTAATGGGCAATGGCACCTTTTTGTTGAGTCCGGAGCCAAAAGTGCGACTTTTTTCTTTAAAAAACAAAAACGACACAAAAATTTTTTTTATCCAAAAGGGCAAAATCGCTCCTGAGCGATTTTGTTCTGACAAAAATTGACGCCGCTCCGCTAAAAGAAATAAAAATCGTTGCTATAACAACGTTTTTATATAAAAATATTAAAAGCAAAATCGCTGCTATAGCTGCGATTTTGTTTAGGAAATTTTTTAAAAAAAGTCTTGAAGTTAAATCGCTGCTATAGCAGCGATTTTGTTTAAGAAATTATTTTTTAAAAAAAATAAAAATCCTACCCTTGCAGAGAATTTAATTAAAATTAAAACTGAAGCCAGCGATTTTCATAAAAAGCTTTTTTTAAAAAACTTTTACCCTTTCAGCGATTTAAATGAAAATTAAAAAAAAAATTAAAACTGAAAATCGCTGCTTCGGCAGCGATTTTTTCTTTAAAAAACTTGTTTTTTTTTTAAAATGGCTGCCTCCGGAAATCTATGTAATTTAAAACTTGTTCTTTATGTTTTTTTTTAATTCCTTAACAAAAAATTGCTGCTATAGCAGCGATTTCACTTTTTTTTTTTTTTTTTATTTATTTATAAAAACACTACTATAGCAGCGATTTTAAAGAAATAATGATTTTTTTTTTGAGAAAATCGTTGCCAAATGCAGCTATTTTTATTTCTTTTAACGGAACGATGTCAATTTTTGTCAGAAGAAAATCGATCCGTCATAAGGGATTTTGCCCTTTTGGTTAAATTTTTTTTTGATGTGCCCTGTTTGTTTTTTGAAGGAAAATATGACCCTTTTAGCTTCGGACTCCCTTTTTGTTGATATTTTAATTCATTAGAGTAATAAGGTAACCATATTGTCAAACTACAAAGGATATAATGTTTTTAAAGAATTTTAAAAAATGTTAATAATAAAAAAGGAATTAAAAAAATGTTAATAATAAAAAATGAATAATGTGACATGGCATCCTATTAGGAGAGAGATAATATATTTTTTGTATCAAGTATATTTGAGAAAAAGAGGTAAAGTTGGGTGATATTGTGGTCCTAAAACAAATATAAGTGATACTCCTAGGTAATTTCTCAAACATGGGTGTCTATCTAGGGAAATTACTCGACATTTCTTATATATTCAACCCATTAAACGAGTGGCATTACTTCTTGCTCTTAAAAAATCAGGAGTAATTTCCCTAGATAGTCACCCATGTTTGGAAAATTACCTAGAAATATCACTTATGTTTGTTTTAGGACTATAATATCATCTAACTTTGCCTATTTTTCTCAAAATATACTTGACACAAAAAATACATTATCTCTCTTCTACTAGGATGCCATGTCACATTTTTTAATTTATTAATAGTATTTTTTAAATTATTTAAATGACAGCTTGTTTAATGTATCTATAAGAGAGCATTAATCTATTCTCTATGAAAATCTAGTTACTTCAATTTTATAGCGAAAATCTTTATCCTATGTTTCATTTAGGAGTATTTGCCGTTATATCCATACAAAAATTTAGTCTTGTTGTCGCGGAAAAAATTAAACTAGCTACTTGAAGTTGATGAAGAAACAATAAATTTAGTTGGATATTTAGAGATAAACTAGATATTAGAAACATTGATTTTTACACAAATTATAAATATCTGTTGCTTGTTCACGGTAAAAAATCAAAGGTTTCTTGTTCATGGTAAAAAAAGATTTTTACACAAACTATAAACATTTGTTCAAAGCTTAGGCAAATTTAAACAATAGAAATATCTGATTCAAAAACAAGTAATCAAAAAACCCCTAAATTTTAAGAAAATTACTCCAATATCATGCTAAGTATTCAAATTATTTCACAATTTACACTTCAAAAATAAAAGAATCAGAAGAAAACTTGAATTTTACCTCGTGGCGATTTCTTTGGTCATCAAAGGTATACAGCGGCTCAGGAGACAGTTCCTTATGCAAATTCGTTAATTTATTCCTTGAAGAACCGGAGAAACCACATATTTTCTTGAAGAATCGGAGGAGCTCATATTAGAGTTCGTTATGTAATTTTTTTTTATTGGGTATAATATATGGATCGTCTAATTTTTTTTAAAAAATTGTTAATAATAATAATAAAAAAAAAAAAGAATAATGTGACTGGGCATCCTAGTAGGAAAGAGATAATGTATTTATTGTGTCAAATATATTTTGAGGAAAATAGGTAAAGTTAAGTGATATTATAGTCCTAAAACAAACATAAATGATATTTCTAGGTAATTTTCCAAACATAAATGACTATCTAGGGAAATTACTCTACATTTTTAATTACAAGAGCATGATGAAAAATAACTGAGAATTAATTCAAGCTGTTTTGTTTGCTTTCTAATTTTTCTCTTGGAAGCATCAAACGCCAACTGTATAAAATATTTTTTAAGTACAAAAAATATGAACCTGAAATTTATTATCATTTAATTAAAACAAAATATTACTTCTGTCTAATTATAATTGTCCACTATATTATTTTGGGATGTCAAACAATATTTATCTATTTCATGAAATTAATAGATAATTTTATACTTAGTTTTCAATTTACCCTTATCATTAATTATAGTTATTACTTTATTATATTTTTTAAGATATTATATATTCAAAGGGTGATATAATAAATTACTATTATATTTATAGTTTCTTAAGAAATGTGCAAAGTTAATAGTGGACAAATATTAGACGTAGTAAATTGTTATTACTGAAATGTTAAGGGGAGGAGGAGTTGATGCAATTTGTCATGTTATTCGTGGCACGTTTCTAAGGCAAGTTAATATAAATAAAATATAATTTTTTTCGAAATAAAG